TGTAAAATGTTGGATACCAATTCAGTGGTCTGAAAATTAAGCTCTGGTCGTGAAACCTAAATATCCTGAGTTTGATTCCCGATGAGATCTTGGATATCTACTGCTATGAATTCACATACAAAGACTGGATAAATGTCCAATATTTCTTGATTTTTATAAAAATTTCGAACTAAAGTCAGTCGATGATGCAAACTATGATCTACAATCTACACAAAATCTCCTACACATATTTTTTTGATTCGGAAAATATGAAACTTGCTTAGATCGTCAGATTTCATTAGAATTGGTTGATTCAAACCTTAAATAAATTCGGAATTCTTTTTACATTCAATCATGATTTTGGCTTTTTCAATAAACTAGATAACGGTATCGAACCACATTCTGCTCTTCAGATGTATTAGCTTATATTTGATGACATTGAAATGACTGTTTTCCATTTATATCAAGATAAACTACGGCTCCTCTGCCTTTTTTATATTACATTTCGCGTACTACTAACATTAAGTTAATTAATAAAATATTATTATAAGAAAGTGCCATTTTCTTCACTCGTCTACACTTATGATAGCTCTTCTCCTCTACTAGTATTGCATGTATTAATATGAACAATCGTTCAGGTACACTGTTGATAGGATACAGTCTATGGACCAGTTTATATAATTTTGTAACAAGACTTCGTTCAAGAATGATTAATGCACTTGACTTTTACAGTTAGACCAAAGTCACAACAGTGCCGAGAGTGGAACGAATTAACAGAAGTTGCTATAGTTCCCACTATCCAATGACTTATCTCATTTACAACGGAATAACTTATAGTAACTAGCACATATTGTAAAAAATTAGTATTTCTTTTATTTAATGTCTTTTATAAACTAATTTGTAATTACTTTACTGAATACTCTTGAATCGAATACTATTTATCGGAAATAAGTAGTATTTGAGCGGAAAATTTTTTTTCAATAAATTTATCATGAGGCTCTACAACTATATTATCTATAAATTCACTTAGTATTGTTTGTTTGAATCTTCCCATTGATGTTTAGGACTGCAGTCGATCAGTCTCTTATTGGTATATGTGCATGCTGTGAGGATTTCCTCGATATTGCCTTAACTTAAAAGCATTATATGCAAAGATGGATAGCGGCTAGTAGTGGAACCCAGGACGCGCATTTCGTCCTGTTTGGGATTCGTCAGCCGGATGTGAACATCAACTTTGAGATGCAGGTACATCCAGCTGACGAGTCCAAAATAGGACGAAACGCGCGTCCTCAATTCCACTGCTAGCCACTATCCATCTTTGTATATATATTACCTATAGTTATTGTATTACAAAGGCCTAAATAAAACATCATTTTGGGTAACATTATCAGTGCGTAATTTATGTAGCATCTCTCAAATTCAACGTTCTATACCTGGGAACACCATATTATCAGAAACATCCACCTGAGCTTCAAATCTTCAAATTTTAAAACTCATTCACTTTTATAGATAGGTAAATTACTGAAGTAAGTATCATTTCTAAGTTATGGATTTTCTGATAAATCAGTCTAACAAAAACAATTAATTTTTCGAGTTTTAAACAAATTCAAATAATCTCATCTGCCTACTAGTAACTATAAATTACATCAAGAGAAACTTTAAGTACACCCCTCCCTCCAATTGACTCCTTCTCCGCTGGACAACATTGACGACGATGAAATGTATATCATGTTTCCTTCGTATGCATTCTGTCAGCCAAACACGTTGATACAATGTAGACCATAATTAACAAATACAAACTGTTATAGGTTACTCGTATTCCAGACATGCTAATATTAAACAATAGTCAATACAATGAAAGATGAAGCAATGGTATAAGGGATTGTAATTCATTTATCAACCGGATCAGTGTATAGTAGGTTGACAAAATTTTTATTGGCATAATAGAAATAGAGGAAATAAATAGATACACATCTATATCATACACATATACAAAAAGTGCTCAAGGTTATACAAAAATAATTGACGGAGCCAAATATGTGAAAGAATAACTGGAATAAATAATGTGGCCCTCATGTTTAATATGTGTTTTTTTCTTAGTTCGTTTTCATTATTACTAATAAATAGTATATTATCAATCTATCATTACATTTTATGGACAACTGTGTTTGGTGTATAAATACGTTTGTACAGCAAGGCAATTTGTATTATGAATACTAGAGTATCTTAAACGTTGATCAAGTCATTATTAGTACACATTGACAAGGTGTACGTTCAACTTTTATCAAGCTAATAATTTCATGGGAAATCAAATCTTTCCCATTTAGCGTTGTTATAAGATAAATTAGTATTATACATCATATAACTAATTGAGCAAATTCAGTTTCGTGTACTCAACTATCCGGTGTCTTTTAAGTATAAAGTCAAATGTTGTACCATACAACTATGGAAACAGAATTAAAGTGAGAATTCTAAATTGATCTGGTGCATGAGAGCATGTATTCTCATCTACGATCTATTAATCATTGGTCTATTTGACTGGTAAAATTCAATTGACATGGAGACGTAAAACTTATTTCATTATTGAACCTCATATCATATTTTTCTAATTCAAATAATGTTAAGTAGAACAATCAAATATATTAGTTAAAATATTTGGTTCTTTCTAGTTAATTAATCGCTTTAAAGATTAATTTTTATCATCGATCGGTACTAGTTAGAAAACATTAGATAATCGTTTATACGAATATGTGCCGCCAATTGAACGAATAATTGGTAAGAATTAGGGCGCCGAGTATATAGAAGACGTTATTTGTGAAAATTTTATTCGAAATAATTTCAACGATTAAAATTTAAATAATTCCCACGTTACGTCCAGCAGATTTGTCTGGACTTCTTTAAGGTAATAATCAAAATCATCAAAGAAATATATAGTGTTTAACAATCAAATAAATTTTTACTGTGCTTATCCAATCATATTTAGATGTTGACTTTATTAAGTAGGATAAAATGAGTCAGTTATGTGCGAATCAGTATAGGGTTGTGGAGATTGTTGAGTTTAAATTGATATCATGAATGGATGAATGTTAGTCCACCGTTGGATGCCGGCTCAGTAGTCTTGAGGTTAAGTGTTCACGCTCGAGAAAGAAGGACCTGGATTTGAATCCTGTGTGTGGGATCGTGGATGCACTAGAACGAAACGGATGGCCAGTGTTTCCAGGTTGTCACTGGTGGTTTAACATTGATTCGTTCATTATTTATGCGAATTATGTGAAAAGTTCACAATGTGAAGATAAATGAATGAACGATTGTGTGTGTATGTATGTGTAAGCTTGAGTTATTAATAGTTGATATTATATGTTAATTTGTCTTTACATGAAGTAAAAATAAAAGTACAAGTTGAAGGCTGAAATTGTTTTTGAATCATTGATGTACACGTAAAATGAGAACCATCAAATACATAATTGCAATGCTAAAATATCCCAGATTATTTTGTCAGAATAACGATATTGTTCCGTGCTAAATTAAAGGAAGTTATCTATCGACTTAATCACTACATATCAATCTGCTAACTGCTAAATATAAATATCCTCTAACTCCATCGTATATGGTTGACAGTGAACATTATTATTGAGAAGTCTTGAAATATGACAAAGTAGCTGACACTAAATTCAATAAAAAGTATCCTGTCCAATTATAGAAAACTGTTTTTCAAGCAAACTGTTGAATGTTTTCATTGATTAATTACTTAATAACAATAGATAAGAAATTCAATATCTGCTGTCAAATCAAAATGATTACATCACATTCCTTTGACCGAACATGTGATTAGAAAACCTAGATGACATTGCTTAATTGAAGGTGCCAGATAAGGATGTAGAAGCGAAACTGTGAAACTTTTAGAAGTACCCTAAGTGGATTTATCAAATATTTATTAAATATTTACGGTTTGCATTATTTTTACATTGCCCTGATTGTAAGTTATGAAATGTTGATGTATCCCTTAATGTTCATAAGTTACAGTTAACTGATTACGTATCTGATATTTGGTTTAGTAACACAAATAGTCTAGTTATGTACAGACAATGTTTTTATCAGAAGGGTTTTGTGGATATTATAGCAGTTTCAATGGTTGAGAGTAAAATGTTAATGCTTCCAGTCCTTCCATGGTAGTGTAGCTTCAATTGACTCATGATCTCAACTATTAAAATTATTATAATATCCACAAAACTTTTTCTGATATTAATCAACATATGCTCACTAGTGACTGGCTTCAAGAGGTATTTCATGGAGTTCTAGTGAGAAACAGTGACCAGTGGAGTTCAACCGGGTCTGTTGTGAGATAGTAACTTACTGAAGACATTGATGGGTTTGTCGCTAATTTTCGTGGATTGGTTGAAGTTAGACATTAACACCGTTGGATGCCGAGCGGCTCAGTGGTTTAATGGTTAAGCACTCGCGCGCGAGACTGATATGTCCTGGGTTCATATTTTGTGGGGCGAAGTCCTGGATGCGCACTACTGAGGATTTCCACAATAGGACGAAACGACCATCCAGTGCTTCCAGGTTTTTCATGGTGGTCTAGCTTCAAATGACTTATGTTTCTATCACCAATGTTGTGTTGTGGTCATGTAATTAATGTACATTATCATATGATTTTTGAGTCAACATGTAATGTAATGTAATAACAGATGTTGTAAATCAATTTTCTGTCCTCATGTTTTGATTGGACATTTTGATTAGGGGGAACTTATTATAGGCCAATCATTATAAACACTTTAAATGAGGATTATTTTGTTAAACTGAGAGTCATTAGTATTATTGACCGTTTAATAAACTTGTCATCAGTGGAATTAATAGTCTACTGAATATATCAAATGTCAGCTCATAATAAAAAGCTTAATATTTCAATAGGATTATTTACCCATAATTACAAATATTACTTTTTGATTACTTATATGAAGTTTTGCTTCTATACTCTAACTGTTTTTTATTTATTTATCATTTCTTTTTCAATATAGAGATGGTTAAGACTTTTCGATACAAATGATAAAGGCATAATCACAATTGAAGATGTCAGTCGTACTCTGGGTGTACCACCTCCGAAATTTTATGAGTAAGATATATACAATTTAATTTTTAAATATAGATTTTTCATAGGGTAAATGGATTGAATAATTATTTTATATATCAATCTAAATAATAATAGTAATAATAAAGAGTTAAATATAACACAAGTTAGCTTCTTGATGAATGTAACACTGTCAACTTTGTAATGTTTTCTGAAGATCTTTTCATACCATACAATGAATTTATAATTGAGTACATATATATTCTAACTTGATTCATTTCTTTTTGGTATTGCTGATTTGATTACTGACTAAATTTGTTAGTTTAAAACTTCATAGGAGTGGTACTTTGTGACTGATTTAGCTTGACTAAATCGATAACATTGATCTACCAGATACAACAACGTTTGACTATAGGAAACATCTTGAAGTCAGTTACTGTTGAGAAGTTGCAAATAAATAGGATTTGGGTATAACGAATGAGAAAGTTTCTTATTAATTATATTTTATAATTGTCACTGTATATCATGAAATCACTGGAATTCGATATATCGACCATTGGATTGTAACTCAATGGCCTAAAATTAACTTGCTTTCCTGAAGCTCTTGGATTTTAGTCCTGATGTGATCATGAATGAATACTACCAAAGAGCTAATTATGAGAATGAAACAGCTACTCAGTTTGCAAAGGTTACTTAGCTTATATGATTACATGGAAGAAGTTATCCTCGAAATTGATTGATAAATTTAATAAAACTTGATGTCAGGTGATTAAAAGATATCTATGACAGTCTTTAGATAATATACATTCCGTGCTAGTTATCACTTGTCAGCAAGACTCACTAGGAACGTCAAAGGATTTAACATTCTCTAAGATTTTTCAACCTATGTCACCTAGAGCCCTTGTTATAGATTATACAATTTGAACTATTTTGGTTGTGAGAATATTAATCATAAAGTTATTTTTCATTAAATTTGTGTTATGGTAATTTAGAACAAGAATTAATATACTATACTTTTTGGAAAGTTCACTAACTATTGGTGAAAGCCAACAATGGTATTGTTGGGGAAAAAAACAATTTTATGTTTGACTTGTATTGGGTCATTTGTGAAGTTGACATTAATTGCACTAGCACCCATTTCTTAGAAATTGTAGGGTGTGAAAGAAAATATTTAGAGATCGGTGATTGGTGTACTTGTTTTGCAAGTGTGTGCTCAACTGATAATAACCAAACATTTTGTCCCCTTTAATAATTTTTTAATTGGTCGTAAACTGTTCATCTTTGTAATCTGATTGGTTGACATCGAAATAGCATCAGGTGCTTTGATTGGATGTCAGAATTTGCATTTTTACAATTGAAATTTAACGATAATGAATAATTCTTTCTGTGTAATCTTGGTCTTGAAAAAAATTTAGATTTTTGAAGAAAAAAAACACCAACTTTATTTCACTACCGTGCAATACTGCTGTTAGTGAATGTGTATTGGGATACATTCCGATCAAGTAGACTTGGAATTGAAGTCGTTAGTTATCTTGACACGATTAATTATATGTATCTGATTAAAAGAAAGTTCTGGAAAAAAGAATTGAAAACCAGTTTGAATATTTGATAATAAGGATTACTGAATTAGGTCGGTAGTCAAATGTTTAATATCCAATTAATAAACAAATTATCACCTAAGTGTGTGCATAAGTTTTCTTCTTTAACACATGGTATGTGAATTGGAAAAAAATCAATATATCAATAAATCATCATGATAAAATACTGATTGCGACATGCATAAATCACGCGAAGGAACCGTAAACGATCGGCTGATGAAGGGATTTTGACGGTATATCAAAGAAGTAATAATTTTTCAGAAATAGGCACATCATATTTACAAATGGGTTATTTTGTAAATAGTCATTCCTAATACGAAATAGTTGTTTACTGTCGCTTTATAAACGGTTTCCATTAGAAAATGTTAGATGTCAATAGGGTTATTTTGCTAATCCATTGAAAGGATTTATTGTTGTAGTTCTGCAGTTTATAATTATGACAATAAAAACTTGTGTGTTTAAGCAGTCATATCAATCCGTTGTTGGGCTTGGGACTTTGGCATGAGGTTTTTTCACGTAATGTCAATAGCAAATATATTCTACGTGTTCAATTAAGCTAAATTTTAACAGGAATTAGTAAATGTCATATGTCAATGACAATGCAAACGTTACTTATAATATATGAGGTATGGAATGATATTTGAAAATCATCGCTTATCTTTAAGAAACATAATGGAGAAACAATAAAAAAACCTGCATGTACATTTTTCGTCATATGTGAATATTGTTCACCAGAAATGAAACCTGAAATATCTATACATTACAAATGTAGCCATTTTTGACAAGCATTTGAAATATTGCTTGCATTAGGTGTAAATGAACAAGCCTACGTCGTCGGACTCAATAAATATCTATCGACATTAAACGTATAAACATTATTTTATTATTATTATTAGAAGCTTTATTCAACATTATATTTTTGGTACAACATAGAATTCTCAGCATAAAGTATTTCAACAAGTTTCCTTTTCTTATACCTTGATCGATTGTGACGATAAATTTTGAATGATGACCAGTTAGATGTTAGAAGTTCGGTAATCCATATTTGATTACTGTTCATTTGTTTCAATGCATATTGCCAGCCACCATGATGTCGCTGATTGTACCGTTTTGTATCCCGTACAGCGAAAGGTTGTAAACTTTTCATAAACGCGCCTGAATAGGTTGTGCGCACAATAGACATAGTGATGTGCTAAAACAAACAACAAAACAGATAACTTGATGAAATATCTAGATCGGAGGAACAGGTAGCCCAGATATTCATGCAGGCCGCCGGTTGATGAATAAGGTCTACAGCATCAATGACGATTTAAAATATTATTGTAGCAGTAATTAATTGTTATAGAAGAGTAAAAATAAATACGGTGATATAATCAATATTTATGAATAATAATGAAGGTCAAGGTAACGATCAAACGTAGTTCATACGTACGCATAGTTCTGGTTTCAGGTTCTTTTTAATATAAAACAAGAATATAAAATTCTTATTTTTGTATTCATGAAACGGATAATATTCTTATTTCTATTTACACCCACTATATGGAAATTCATTAGCCCCACGGCAATTTTTTTTAAAACCCCCCTACCCACCCTTTTTAAAAATGTTTTTTCAACCCAAATTGCAATATTTTCCATCTCGTTTCGTCCAATGAAATGGCTAGTTTTAAAATTCGTTTTAATTGGTTAGTTATGTTTGTCGAATTGTTATAAAATGTCAGTACTTGTCGACAAAGTACATTTTAATCATCATTATGGAGGAGAGTAACGTGCCATGTACAAGCACTGTTGTTTCTCACGTTGTCACAGAAACAGAGAACGTATTTTTGACTACATTGTTTCTCGTAGCGTTCCAATCAGTTGAAGCGTTAAAGTCCGCTATCGGAACTTATGAAAGATCTACGTACTGTCATTATGTTGTGAGAGATTCTCGTTTGGACAGAGATCAGAACTCGTATATGAAATTTGTATGTTGGAGAAATGGCCGCAGAAGATCTAGCGGTTCGTCACAGCGGATTAGACGAAGGAGGTAATTTGATTAGTGTTATTACATTTATTTTCACGAAGGGCTTCCATGAACACTCAGTGTCCGGCCTTCATGTTTTGTAAGATTATCGACGGCTACTGGACTGTTGTACGTGGGAATGTGCATCACAATCACGAGTGCAATTCCCTGAGGTACCAAAGTAACTCATGGGTGAGCAGGTTAACGGAGGCAGAGTTTGAAACTGTGCGACCACTCCTGATATCTGGTACCGCAGCATTCGACATTAAGCATTTTGCTTACCATTCTTATGGAAAACGTTTGAATGATCAAGATATATTTAATATGCGGTACAAAGTGTTCTCACACGCCAACCTTCCTGGTAAGCAATCTGCCTATTTATAATGTAAACGATAGGCGATTACGGCACTTTGTACCTCGGGGAATTGCACTCGTGATTGTGATGCACATTCCCACGTACAACAGTCCAGTAGCCGTCGATAATCTTACAAAACATGAAGGCCGGACACTGAGTGTTCATGGAAGCCCTTCGTGAAAATAAATGTAATAACACTAATCAAATTACCTCTTCGTCTAATCCGCTGTGACGAACCGCTAGATCTTCTGCGGCCATTTCTCCAACATACAAATTTCATATACGAGTTCTGATCTCTGTCCAAACGAGAATCTCTCACAACATAATGACAGTACGTAGATCTTTCATAAGTTCCGATAGCGGACTTTAACGCTTCAACTGATTGGAACGCTACGAGAAACAATGTAGTCAAAAATACGTTCTCTGTTTCTGTGACAACGTGAGAAACAACAGTGCTTGTACATGGCACGTTACTCTCCTCCATAATGATGATTAAAATGTACTTTGTCGACAAGTACTGACATTTTATAACAATTTCAAGACATAACTAACCAATTAGAACGAATTTAAAACTAGCCATTTAATTGGACGAAAAGGGATGAAAAAACTTTTTTAAAGGGGTGAAAAAATTACAAAAATAGCCGGTCGCTTAGTGATATTCCATTTTTGATTAGACCGTGATGATAGGAATGCATTTGTATAATCTACTGATCGTTAACCGGTACATCGTTTGGCTTCTGAAGGTCCTCACATATCCTCCAGTAAGAAACTTGTAGAATATCCAGAAACAGTAGAAAACCTTTACTTAATCGGCCCGCAAATGCAATGGTACGGCCGAGGGTGGAGTCAGCTACCCCTCTCGAAATGGTCCCACATGGCCACGTGCATACAATCACTGTTAGGGAAGTTCTACACACTGCCTACTCGTGGAGGTGTTGGCTACGAAATCGAGAGGACGAAAAGCGAATGTCCGGCGCTCTAACTGGGTTGGTGGTGGGTATGAAGAGTCCACCTAGGGGAGTTAGAAAACCCTGATTCCAAATCAATGGTGTACATGGGCTCCAGTATCCTGAAGGAATAAATGGCTTAT